GCTGCTGTCAAGTGTTTTTGTTGAGTTCATCAAAATTGTCGCTGGCCAACGATGACATCCACTTAACGCAATTTTCAGTGCTGAAAGAGCCGGGAGCATCACTGCCACTGGCAGCCGGCTCCACTCGAGTGTCATCCATTCAGTTGTTCAAGCTGCTGCTAAGCATCCATTCATTCCGTCATTCATCCATTCAGTCACTCGCTCATTTCACACCAATTACAGTTACAATTAATGTTTGTTTGTCAGTCTCCCGCATTTTTAGACTTTTAGAAGCCCCCCTTTAAACAGACATCAAAGGGCCAAACCGAAAAGAGAAGGTGAACCCACCCACATAATACCGCCCGGGCTTATCTTAAAGTTGCAAAAAGCTTGCATATTTAATAATTGCTCAGCTGAAGTTCATAAAACCGGGAAAGGAGCCCCCGGAGGAAAGGCGCAAGCCCCCAGGGGAGTCCCCCAATGAAAAGGGTCGAGGGATGGCGGCAAAAAGCGCAACCTTAGCCCGCTCATAAATGAATGTTTCTGCTACAGAATTTACACCTAGACGGAGGATGGGGCACTGCCTGCGGCATGACTGGCATGCTTCTGGCCCAGCTGCGGCATGCCCATAAAGTATCTTGAATATTTCAGGTGTGCTGGCAATTTAAGGGTCTCCGTCACATTCAGGTGCGGGTTCATTAGATGTCCACTGCAACTTCATTTGCAGCAGTGTAAAAAAGAAACGAAAATCTTCGCGGCCGGTTACATTGCCAGCTGGTTAGTTGCCAACTTGTTGTTGGCATACCCAGTTTTTCAGGGTATATCAAATTGGGAAGGATAAATTGTTCTATCATATCGGGCTTTGAGGGAATATTTATCCCAAAGTCTCTAAGATTTCTTTAAAGAAAGACTAGAAGACAGTCTGTCATGAAAAGTGTATTATTTATTGTATTTTTAATATGAACTATTTCGTTTTTATATTAAACCACTATTGGGCATACTCCTTGATCTTCAAGAATGTCAGTTAAGTCTAAAATTGTGTTATTAACTTCAATATTGTATGTATCTCACAAAACCATCTCATAAGTAAAGAAACTTAAAAGCTTGTGAAATCACATATTTTAGGAACATTATGGTAAACAGGATTTAATAAATAAGAGTAAGCTATTGAAAACACTTGTTAATGTTAAGTATAAAAAATAACAAAATATGACAAGATAAGATTTTTGTATTCATTTCTAGAGTATTAATTCAAACTTGTTTACAAAAAAGGTTTAAAGTTGTTCAAACTCCTTTCTTTTTTATAATGTAAATGCATATGTATAATAATATCGAGTTGTATTCTTTATGAAGACGTATTTTTACGTTTATATAAAAAGTATGAAAATGATATATTTTATGTGTTTTGTGAGTGAAAATGAAATCCAAGTACCCGGTACCACAGAATCGTAAGACTCGATCCTGGTATCCCTACTTGTTGTTTTATGTTTTTTATGCTCCTGTTATTTTTGCTGCAGAGGCTTAGCCAGCGACGACGTTAGAATTTCAATGTTTTTTTTTTCCTGCCTAGCCTGTTAATCTATTTTTTTATGCGCTTTGTGAGGGCATTCGCCTAAAAGCTAGCTGAGGATTTTTTGTTCCTTTTCGGCGGACTGTTGGGCTGTTGGGCTGTTGGCTGTTGGCTTCTGCTTTTGATTTGATTTCGTTTTCGTTTCGCATTGTGGGCTCTGTTTTTTTCCTCTATGTATATGGGTTGGTTTTGGGAACGGCCCAAAAAGACCGTATTTCGTTGTTTGCCTTTTGTTTTCTTTTGTCATCTGGTCCAGCCACCCTAATTTGTTGTTGTTTTTTGTCAACCTTTTTTGCATACAAAGCACACACACTCTCGCACATTCATCTTAAATGAGTTTGTATGCACCCCGCTTATTATGATCAAACAGTTTGTTTGGTTCACCTCTTACGTACTTTTTTTTTACTTTTTGATGGCACCGACTTTGCTTCTCTTATGTACCTTCCACGGATGCTGTTTTTTGCCGCTTGCTTTTCACTGCACCTTCTTACTGATTTGGGGCACTTAACATAATTTAATTTCGGCAACTATAAATTACAACTCCTTGCACTTGGCACACACCAACACTATGTTGTTTTTGTTGTCACAGCTCAAAACATTCTCCTTCGGCTTTCTCTTCGCCCGCTCGTCCTTAATCTAAGAACAACGGGAAGGTTGAGGAAAAACACACGCCCGTAGGATGGGATCCCGCGACCCCACAAAAAATGCGAATATTTCTCCGACACACACACCTACACCTCAACACTGAGCAACACAAACCAAGCTTTTGGCGTCGCTGTTTTGGTTGAAAATTTGGTTTTTGGTTCGAACCGAATTCGATTTGTCGTCGTACAAGTTCGAAATTCCCGTTTTTCAATTTTTTTTCTGCTATTTCGGAACGGTGCGACCGCGCGATTCGAGCCGTTGAGACAGATTGAAGCGAACATCGGAAAGTTGCCTGTTTTTGTTCCCACGCAGCCAACATTTCTCTCTCGAACTCGGTTCACTGATGCAACGCCTCTCGAACGGAAAATCTGTAAAGGTCCAGAAACATGGGCGTAGCCACACTTATTTCTTGGCAGATAAAATATAAAATATAAAATCAAACAACTTATAGCTTTCAAGTAAATAGATATTTTGTTTAACGATTCTAACAATCAACAATTAATTTCCATGGGACCTAAATTATAACAACATTACTTTGTTTAGCACAACGGTATAGAGATTTAATTGTATACAGAAAACCAGATCGAAATGAGACATTTTCACAACAGACATTGTTTTCAAAAAAACATTTCTCTGTTGTTACAGATTCATTTAAATTTTTAAATTAAAAAAAAATTAAACCAAAGTCTTTTGGCATGTTCTTGATTTTGTAAATATTACACTGTACTTAAGGCGACAAAATCCTCCAGAAATAAAAGTTTACCAGTCCCGTTAAATTCGTTTTACGATTTTTCCCTATTTGCATGCCTATTAAATTTTGTATTGCACAATCTAGAAGATGTTGTAGCCAATGTTGTACATTTATTCCAATTGATTTTTCTAACTATTAAACTTGGAAACTTCAAGATACTTGGTAAATATTTGCATTTCACATACAATAGATTTGGTTCCCCTGCAGTTAACATTAATACAACAGCTTTATTTCGCTAACAGTGGAAATAGAACACAGGCACTCTTTGAGAGACCCACTTCAAACTCATACATGTAGTTGCAGTGCGATCTGGTTCGAGCTCGTCGCAAGGCTGCAGTTCGAAGAGAACGTTTTGCAGGAGATGTTGCAAGGTAAAATAAGCACGGACAACGGAGAAAGCAGAAACAAAAACATGATCAACCGGTGGGAGTAAATCATTGCACTTTAAGTAATGCCCACTGAATTATATACATGTTTTTGAGATGTTCAATTAACTCACCGAAGATAAGCGATTTGATAAGAGCTAAGCTAAGCTAAGCTTAATTTGTTTATTGAATTTGTTAACTATAGTTACATTGAATCATAATTTTACTTTTAATATCCCAAGCCGAAGCTAGCTTCCTTTTTTGTTTGAGCCGCTTAAAAAAGGAGGTTTCTGAAATGTACAATTAATAAATTTGAATATTAATACGATACTTATAATTATTTTAAAACATTAGTTTGTAATTATTTCTGGACGAAAACGCTATCTATTAAATAATTAACTTGCTATTTTTAATGTTATTAACACGTAAATTTAAAATGACAACAAACCATATAAAATATATATATGTATATATTTATGTACAAGCACCAAGAAATTCGTTAATTTCAGGTAAAGCTTTGCATTGTAATTCCAATACAGTGCCCTCAATAAATCATTTCGTATTGGGCATTCAGCAAGTGCATTTTTCGAATCCCAACTCAATAAATCTCTCCTTTCTCTGAGCTTTATCGAAGCCATAAGATAAGAGCATATTTCAGGTCACTGCTGGCAGTGGCCAAGGCTCCTTGAGAAGCCAATGTGCGATTGTTCTGAAAAGCCGGCTAAACAACTTTTTTGCTCCCCACCTACGGTTTTTTAGCTCTTCAGTTGACAGAGGGATTGATGTCGGTAATTATAATTACATATCAATTTTAATTGGCACCCAATCAGAGGTCGTGGGAGCAGCATAATTAATTAGCCGCAATTGTTGTTATATGTTCCACTTGCCACGCGTTTCCAGAACTCTCTTACTTCACTCTCTTTAGTGCCCACGCAGCGCTCTCTTTGATGCGGTACATTTTTCTGGTTCACGGGAAAAAAAAGCGTTGCGATATAAAATAACAGTACAAGTTAGGGAGTTAAATAAGTAATTAATATTAAATCTAGATAAGTGATAATAGCTAATTAATATTTATAATTTAAATTACTTAAAATATATAAATATAACGGACATATACAATTTTCTGGTAATAGAAACACAAATCAAAACATTTCCAATCCATTTGGAACCCAATTCCATGCCGTCGTAAATATTTTCTTTGCTGTGTGCGGTACATGTAAGAATGGTACTCCTTGAACTTTAGGGCGCTATACTCATTTCCGGTTTCCGTTACTTTGTGTGCGTGCGAAATTTGAATTGCGTGGCAAAGTTTTACCGCCCAGCATATTTTTGCGCATCTGAATTTTATTGAAAACACATTAAGACTTTCCAGTAGCAGCAGCGACACTTTCGCCGGAAGTTGCCAATTTCCCTGACGAGCGCCCCCTTTTTGTGGGCGTGACCCGTCAGGGAAATCAAATTGTCTGGTGCAATGGCAAAGCGAATTGTATTTTGCCGCCAATAAAGACGACTTCCCCTGGAGCAGGCTAATCAACGTTGGGCCGTTGAGCCGAAAAAAATGTCGCGAAGAGCGAGAGAATTTCCACCCCAGCAGGCTGATAAGGCGAATGCATTGGCATTGATAAGATAAGAGCGCTTGGAGCGAGAGCTTTTTTCCCCATTTTTTGATAGCTTGCCCGAAGACACCTAATCGCGCTTAGTCACAGGTTGCCTAAGCGCGCAGACGGTCAGCAATGGACGACACCGACTTCTCGCTCTTCGGCCAGAAGAACAAGCACAAGAAGGACAAGGCGGATGCCACCCAGATCGCCAAGACGCCCACCTCGGAGCTGGACCTCAAGAGGATCATCACCTCGCGGCCCACCAACGAGGACACATACGAGAATTGCCCACGGGCGGGCATCGCGCTGATCCTCAACCACAAGGATGTCAAGGGGCAGAAGCAGCGAGTGGGCACCGAACGGGATCGCGATGACATGGAGGCCACGCTCAAGGGATTCGGATTCGATGTGCGGACCTACGACGATCTAACCTTCTCCGACATCAACGACAAGCTTAAGGAGGGTGAGTTTCCACTGTTACATATGCGTCCAGAAGCCAGAAGCCCCGCAGCACTCATAAATCACTAAAACCGCATTATCTACCAGCTGAATCAGGTTTATTTTTGTCTTGTAGTTATAAAATACAAAGTACAAAATATCTAAGGAAGAATATTATTAAATCATTTGTGTTTATTGACCTTTTAAGTGTTTGTATATTCAAAGTAATACAAACAATTAAAATGTTTAGGCTTATTTATTTCACAATCACTATTCTTGTTATACAAATCAAGTTTCAACTGATTCTAGTTCATCGGAATCGGTAACACATTTCAAACTCAGATATCTTATCTTTATCAAAACAAAAGTCACTACTTTTGTGACTGCAATAATTATGAGATAAAGGCAGTAATCGGTTATTCTGATCGATCTGAAGCCAGGCAAAAGTACTCTAAATTGTATTCTAATGAAAATAGTGTTTTGGATATATATTTTATGTTATTTCTCTTCAATGATTGTTAAACGGATAAGATTAAATTTCTTTTTTCCAGGCAATTTAAGGTGCTAACAATGATTTTATGTATCATACTATTTCTATTTACAGTGGCACGCGAGGATCACAGTAAAAACGATTGTTTTGTGCTGGCTGTGATGTCGCACGGAACTGAGGGCAAAGTCTATGCCAAGGACATGTCCTATCCGGTGGAGCGCTTGTGGAACCCCTTCCTCGGCGACAACTGCAAGACGCTGAAAAACAAGCCAAAACTCTTCTTCATCCAGGCCTGCCGTGGCGAGAATCTGGAGAAGGCCGTCGAGTTCTCAAGCTTCGCGGTGATGACCAGGGAACTGGCCCCGGAACCCGTTGCCCCCGTTCAGCCCATCACCTATGCCATCCCCAGCACAGCGGACATGCTCGTCTTTTACTCCACATTCGACAGTGAGTGTTGACACAAGTAATCTTTTTCCATAGTTTCACAATGAATTGAAAGTTTTCCATGCCTTTAATAAGCTTTAAACATCAATCAATGCGGTACTTTTTTTGATTAATAGGATAGAATGTTACAAGTATTCTTTTGAGCATTTAAAATGCAAATTTAAATATTCAGTAGAAAAAATTCTGTTGACTAGAATATTAAACAACACAAAGATAAACATATGTGAATTAATGGAAACATAAGCTGTCAATGTGGTAGTATATGTAGGATATTTTTTTAGTTAACCTAAAGTAGTCCCAAATAACCAGTTTACTTGGTTATTTTAAAACTTATTATTAATATTATTTCTTGAGCAATGCCATTTGTTTTCTGAATTTATAGAAAGCTTGCAAAGTTTATAAACACGGACCATTTAATTACTTAAAATAATCTTATTAAATTATGTATATTTTTAAATTATTTAAAAGCAATTTCATGCAAAAACTTCGATTAATGTGATAAATTGATTGAATTCACTTTGTTTCTTAACCTATTAAGATTTTTTTTAAATAAGTTCAATTTTATTTCCTAAATCAAAATTAAAGAAAATGCTTTGCTTTTTTATTTAAAGTTTATAATTTAAAGTATATAGAAGCTGTTAGATAAGCTGTTTCCATGGGAAAAAAAATTTCTTGAAAAATGTATAATTTTTTTTAGAAGAGATTTTCGAGCTTTCCCTGCTAATTGAATCCCCCTTATTGCTTTTAGAATTCTTCTCGTTCCGCAACGTAGACGATGGGTCCTGGTTCATCCAGAGCTTGTGCCGGGTCCTCGACGTCGCCGCCTGCAACGAGGCCTCCCAGCCGGAGGGCGCCGAGCTGCTCCGCCTGCTGACCGCTGTGAACCGCAAGGTGGCCTACGAGTATCAGTCGAACACGAAGAACGAGGCCCTCAACCAGATGAAGGAAATGCCCAACTTCATGTCCACGCTGACGAAAACCTTTAACCTGCGTGTCAAACCCAAGTCCTGAACGCCTGCCCTCGAATGTGGAATCAGCGCCAGTCCATGGGGACTGGAACAATGAGTCCGTGGCGAACGAGGCACACCACAACTCTTTCACTTAATCGTAATGCTTGCAATTCGTTGATAGAAATACATATCAATGGCACTTATCTGGAATTGGCTTAGTGCCGCTGGGGACAGCGATAGCAATGGCTGACAACTGTGAAAGACACAAGTACGAGTCCGAGTCCGAGTCCGAGTCCGGGTGCCGTGAGGTCAGTTTCCCGGAAAATGTCGCGATTGCCGCATGTCTGCGGTCTCTGTTTGCTGCTGCGGATTTGGCAGCTTTTGGCCTTGGCGCCGTTTAGGTTTGGTGGGCGAGTGGGCGCCAGGTGTCAGCGATGGGTGACCTTGAGTGCGGCCTTGCGATGCCTTCTGCTGACATCGGTGGCCCCTGTCATCCTGTGGAAAAGTGCCGCCATGTATGAGGCCACAAATGTCCGGCATTCGGCGGTGTTCAAGGCCATTGCCATGGCCACCATGACGGGCGATGTGTGCATTTCCCTGGCTCTTCAGGGCGCCCAACTTTGGCATCGCAAGGAGCTGGCCGAACTGGTCAATAGCCTGGCCAGATTGCACCGAAGCCGACGACTAAGCTGGTGGTCCACATTGTTCCTGTGGCTCAAGTTGCTGTTCTCCCTCTACGAGCTCCTCTGCAATGTGCCCTTTCTCGAGGGAGCTGGAGCTCGTCTGCCGTGGCACCAGCTACTGGCCTATGGAGTCCAGCTGTATGTTCAGCATGTGACCAGTGTCTATGCAAACGGACTGTTCGGCGGTATGCTGTTAATCCTGGAGTGCTACAATCAACTGGAACAAGGGGATCCCGCATTAGAACGACTTTTGCACAGCGAACGGTGCTGGCTGAAAGTGGTGCAGAGATTTGTGAAGGTCTTTCAGCTGGGCATCTTTCTGCTGGTCTTTGGCAGTTTCGTTAACATTCTGGCCAACATGTACGCCTTCATGTCCTATTTTGTGGCGCAGCATGGTGTTCCGCTAACCATCTCCAATAACTGCATGATTTTGGCTGTCCAGCTGTATGCTTTGATCCTGGCAGCTCACCTGTGCCAGGTGAGGTCGGGTCAGTTGCGTAAAAGCTGCTTGCAACTGGAATATGTGCCCGAAGGTCTAACCCCGGAAAAGGTGGGTTAATCTGAAATAAATAAGAAATTATAGGTTAAATTGAAATTTACATGTTCCCAGGCCATGACTTCAACACCATTTCCTCTGGTCTCACCCACTGGCAGTGTCGAGTTTAGTATTTTGGGTCTCTTCACCTTGGACAACTCGTTTTGGCTTTTCCTCGTCTCATATGCCATGAACTTTATTGTGATTATCCTGCAGTTTGGCCTGAAGAATATGAAACATGCTTAAACTTAAGACGTCGAATGTTACTTACACTTAAAGGATCTCAATTATTTGTTTAACTCCAATTACACACGAAACGTTTGTGCAATATCTAACAAATTATAGCAACATTTATTTACTTATACAACTAAGATTTTATGGATTTATGATTATAAGGATATTATTTTAAAGCTATATCGCTTAAATAGGGCTTGATATTGTTGGCATACTTTTTGGTGAGAAATGATAGGCAAAATTTTTGCTGCATATTTTCAGGATCAAGAAATATATTAGTGCAAGTGAGCCTGCCCAGACGAAGCGCCTAATTCCCAAAAAATCCAAGAATGCTCAAACGGTCCCATACTTAAATAAATTGTTCGCTTGATTTCCCCTTCCGCTGCATATTTCGTGTATTTTAAAGTGTTGGAGAAGATCGATGCGATCGGTTTTTCAAAGAAAGTGCCGAAAAACCTCAGTTTTCCCTTGGGAATATACTCGTATACTTTTTCTTATACAGAAATAATGAAAAGGCGTTCGCAGAAACCTGCACAGTGGCGCCACAAATGCAGCTGCTAGAAACTCGTTAGATTTAACCACAAAATGTATTTGCTAGATGGCGCTATTGTAATTCCAAAAACTGACAACTGTCGCCAGCTTGGCCCAATTAATTTGACCGCGCAATTTAAAAAGTTACTTACTGGTGATTTTAACCGTATTTTATAAATAAAGAATTCTGATATTGACACCTCAATTAAGATGAAAATTTAGTTAATACATTTTTATTTTGCGGATACACTGCTTAAAAAAACATCGTAAGCGCAAGTATTTCATCCCAAATTTAAATATTTTGTGCTTTGATTTTAATCATTTGCGGCTTTAAGTTAATTTAAATTACATTTTTTAAATTTATTTTTGTAATATTTTCGAGTTAAATTTTAATATATCAACTATTAAAATATTCGAACTATTTTGATATAAATATAATGATATTAAACCATTCATTTAATAACTATGGCTTTTATTATTAATTATTTCAATTACATAAAGCACAAACAATGTCTTTTCTTTGTCATTTGTCAAAATGGAAATTTTACTATATCCATCTGTTGCAAAAAAATTAATCGGCAAAACAATATAACAAATGTTTTTTTTCGAAAATCAATATTTCTTTTGTCTTTTGACTAACATAATTTTTAGGCAAAACAAATATAAATCAAAGCGTCGAAATGTAAATGAGAAGGTAAATTACACAATTTATTTATTGTTATTATTTTTTATTAAGTTGCGTGTGAGTTGCGGCATTGTTGCCGCTTGTTATTATTTTTAATTTAGTCAATGTAAGTGGAGCAGGCTAAGCATTGACAGTAATTTTGATTTTATCATCAAAGATTGATAAACAAAAACTCCATTCAATACATTTTTGTCGCTTTTGCCCGCGCTGCTTAATCGCATTCGTGAATTTCGATATGATTTTTGTGAAATGCTTTTGTCACTTGACTGGCCATTGCGTAAACTGGAAATGAAAGTGGGAGCCAGCAAATCCCAAATACTAGTTGAAATAGATTTGCAGTCAAAAAAAACATGAAATCGTTAAACTCTGCCACCAAACTGCAACATATGATGGCTATAATTGATCATTAATTGCTGTGGCGTATGTTTTTGACACAGGCCAAAAAACTGAAAGTTGCATAAAGATTAAATTGCAAGAAAGGTGTTCGAAAGAGAGAAGAGCGAATGTTATAGGCAAATGTTCAATTTAATTGGTTATGTTTTGAAATCCCCCTAACCCAACGATGCATACCCAATTTGTTGCTTGCCTCACCACGAATCCAATGACTGATGTGTAATCTGATCTGGCAGTTGAGTTGAACGATTAGCATATCGACTTACCCATTGTCTTCCTGCTTTCACTTGCCGACTTCTCGATCAGCCCTCGCTGATTAGCATTGATTCTTCCAGCGAAGAGCCGTGGCTAACCACGAGCGAGCTCCGGCATCAGGAGCATTCGCACGCGCCAATTTTCCAAGCCGCTGACTCGATCGGTTTGGATCTTCAAGACGCCGCCGCTTGCTACCCACGCACTGCAAAAAAATAGTAGGTGTTTTGAAAAATGGTTTGATTTGATTTGTTGTTTGTATTAATAAATTTTGGATTACATAAAATTTAAATTTAATAAGACAAAAAAAAAATCAAGAAAAATAAAGTGCTTCAAGAGCTACGCTTACAGACAATTTATAAAGAAACAAACCTAAACATTTTCAATTAAATATTCATTATTATTCTTTTTCTTCTTTTTTTTAGATTATTTTTGTTTCATTAAATATTTTATTATAGACTTACCTAACCAGCATTCAACCCATTCTGGTTAACAAACATATTATTCTGTATGTGCACAGTTTTCTTCATCGTATAGATCCAAAACCCCCTTGGCAAAGATTTTTTTTTGCAGTGGATACCTTTGCGTAGGTTGTTGTGGGCTGTCGGTCAGTTGCAGCCACTGCTTTTGCTCCGACTTCGTCTCCAGTCAGGTGTTATGTAAAAGCTATTAAACCGCATAATGCAAACGCTGCTCAGTCTTTTTTAGCTTCTGTCTTTCTTCGCTCTTTCTGCGCGGCGGTTTTCTTAGTATTTTTCCACCACCTTTGGGCGCTCCCTTGGTTCTTTTCTTTTCTTTTCAGCAGCAGCGCATCTGCGACTTGGCCACAAGTGAGAACCGTTAAGACGCCTTTATGGCAGCAAACTGCAGCAGGTTTCCATTCGATTCATATTGGATCCACTGGATTATCGCTATATTGTCTGGGGTCGTGTTTTGTCTGATTTTTGACTTGCTGACTCGGCCGGCTTTCCATTGCGGCATCTTCGTCGACATCGACATCGCCATCACCATCGCCATTACCATCAGAGGGCATCATCACCATCAAAAGTGCCTAGGGCTAAGGCCCCAGCGAACTGCATGTTTATGCTTTATGTTAATCACTTTTGTTGTTTATACTTTTACGACTGGCTTTTGCTCTGCCAGCGCTATTGGACCTTCCTTCCTTGTTTCTCGCTTTCTGGCTGCCTTTCATTCATCCACTGGGCCTGGCTTTTGTCTTTCTGCCAGCACGCAATGCGCTAAAGAAATAAAAAAAAAATATTGTAGTAGCGCAACGGTTTCTGAACGAGTCTAGTCTATATGGCAAAGGATACGCAGTGCTCAGTACACAACCCCTCACACTTCACTACTCCACAACTGCCAGCGCTTTTCCTCAGCCACTTGTCGTGGCTTTTCTCGTTTTCTTGTGTGTGAAAAACTAGTCTCATCGCAGTCGGCTTAGCCTGCAGTTGGGAAGATAGCTTCAGTTGGTCGCGAGGTGTTTGCGTTGTCGGTTGGTTCGCTTGATGCGCGATGCGAGCGTCTTGGATAGTGCTAGCATAAAATCAGTGGAAAAGTCCAGTGAAAATCTCCAGATCCTGCCAGATAATGGCAGCCATATGTATTTGGGTTCTGCCCGTGCTGGTTTTGGGCCTGTTCGATATGGGCCAAACTGCGAAAACGGGACAAGTGCAAGGCAAGTTGCAATTGGCCGAAAGCCGTTATAGCCTTTTAAGCAGGCGGGATATCTTCATAAATCTCTCGGCTAATGTGTGTGTGTGTGTGTGTGTGTGTCTCCATCTCCATCTCAATCACAATCTCTCTCAATCTAATGTGTTGGTTCGCGTAAATCAAGTGCTGGACGCAGTTTGTCGCCTAAGTCTTTCGTTGTTTGCTGCATGCAACTCGTTTGGCTCGTTTACGGACCGTTAAATAACCCAAATTTCGAATTTAAATGCTGGTGCGACAGCTTTTCCTCAGGGGCTGGCGAAAAATGTGCAAGGAAATCGATTTGTTTTGAGACCACTATCTAAATGCGGCAACCTGTCGATTTGTTTATGCAATGACTGACAGCTGACCCACATAGCCGGCCGCCTAACACCTCACACCTTACCCTTACCCGTATCCCCTTCTCCACGGACTGACCCATTTTGGTAACCTGCTCCTGCACCTTCCACTGCCACCGACCCACCGTGAACTCGAAAACGCGACTTGGGAACCCAAGTGTCGCTGCCGCTGCGAGTGTGGCAATGTTCTAATTAAAACTTAATTTGTTTGTCTTACTTGGAATGACCGCCTGAGCTTAATGTTCTAGATGATGGCTAAACTCGAAGCCAAGTATGAATGGGTAAATTGTTGCTAGACAACGTAGCGCCAACAAGTGCTAAAGCGTTCGGGTCGCATGTGAATGGTGCATATGAATTACATATAATTTCTGTTTTATGAGAACAATGCGAATGACATTTATGTTGTGGGAAATGAGTTGGAGAACCGTTACGAAAAGTCTTCAATCTTGAAAGTGTTAAGTGCAATCGGAATAGAGCTGGATTGTTATTTGAATGTGGCTCTACTAAATGATTGGGAAACATTTGCATTTAAAATCACATGTGGAATAGAATAGGAAAACCGTCGCATGGATAAGCAAGAGGTGAAGTTTCTAAAAGATTTTATTTCTTTTTTATGGAAACAAAGTCGATTAGGCTTACATATCAATTCAGTGGCATCACAGCAATATATATATTAAACAAAAATTGGAAATTTATCATACAAATTTATGATAGTTCCGTACAACTATTGTTAACTCTTCAGACTGTTTACAAAGAATTATTTATTATTTATTAAGTGCATTTCTGCATTTTATTAAAACTTTCGTAGAGACTTTTTTATTTTTTTATCTTAAAAATTTGTTTATTTAGGGAAGTAACTATCAAAGTTTAAGATTTACGTTTAATGGTAAATTTCTTTAACAAGAATTTGAATTTTTTTAATATATAAGAAATAATTAGTAATATATAAGTTAGTAAAAATGATGTTCAAGTTTTGAAGACAATACAAATTAATACAAAAATTATAATTTTACAAAAACAAAATCCATATAAATTGAAAACATTCCATAGAAAATAAAAATTTGTGACTCTCTAAAATACACATTCTTAATTGTTGTGTTTATTTTTCTCAAAATAACTAGG